CTGCCCTCACCACACTTCAGGGGCCGAAGTAGGGATGAAAGCGCCCAGGAAGGGCGACCCATTGCTTACTAGCAGCTCTGGGTGGCAAAAGGGCAGAACATCTTGTTCAGCGCCTAACACCACGGATGCCCCAGGAGGCTCCTGCTGGCTCCCTACCACCAGGGCAGACCCCCTGCCCACATGAATCACCTAGAAGTGGCCTAGCCCCCCAACCACCATCCTGCAAGAGCCTACCTGCTCCCCCACCCCTTAAGACCATCAGGCTCCCATCAAAGATCCCCCTCCAGTTTGGCCAGCGTGGTTCAGTGGTTGAGCACTGACCCAGGATCCAGGAGATCAAGGTTCGATTCCCGGTCAGGGCACATGCCCAGGTTGTGGGCTTGATCCCCAGTTGGGGACATGCAGGAGGCAGCCAATCAGTGACTCTCTCATCATTGACATTTCTATCTCTCTCTCTCTCTCTTTCTCTCTCTTCCTTTCTGAAATCAATAAAGATATTTAAAAAAAAAAAAAACCCCTCTCCACCTCCAGCTCCAGGCCTCACCACTCCTGAGCCTCAGGCTGAGAGGTCCAAGAAAGGAAAGGTATGGTTCAGTCCCGAAGGGGATCCCCTGCACCCCTTCAGCTCCCCCCTTGGCCTACCATGGTCTCCAGGCTGGTGATCTGGTTTTCTGTCTTGTCCAGCAGCTGTTCCCGATACCGCTTCTTCTTGAGCAGCAGCTTGGCCCGCCTGCACGGGGAACCCGGTGATGACCAAGCAGCTCTCCCCACCCCCCGGGCTTCTCCACTGCCCCTGGCCTCTGGGCCCACCCCAGCCCCTCTGGCCCAGCCGCCTGGCCAGATGCACTCACTCCTTCCTGCCTTCCCGCAGGAGCTGCCGGGCGATCTCCCGCTCCCGCTCCAGCTGCAGTGTGACCCTCTTCTGGTACTGCTTCAGCTTGTCCCGCTGCTGCTTCAGTTGCTGCCAAGAAAAGTGTTGCATTAACACCGACCCTCTGCCTCCCAGGGGACACGGGGCAGTGTCGAGACACTCCTGACTGTCAGATCCTGGGGAGGGAGAAGGCCCTAGTGGGGAGGCCAGCTATTCTGCTCAGCACCCTGCAGCGCACAGGGCGGCTCCCCCAATCAGCCAGCCATGTCCACAGCTCTGAAAGCCACCACTATGCAGCTTTGACTGTGGTCTCTGAGAAGCGTGGGTGCTCTGGTGTCAGGTCAGGGGGTGCTGCAGTCCCTCGAAGGTTCTGACAGTCACACTCCCACCCCAGCAGTGGGCTGCCCTCCGGCTCTGCTCCTGTGGGCTCCTGCCACTTCCTTATCTTCCCTGCTCGTCACTGGTCATGAGTCTGAGAGGACAGCAGGTGACCCTGCCGAGCACCTCGGGCTCCTGCGCACTGTCCTGGAAAGGATACACGGTTATTCATGCACTCAAGCCAGTCGTCCCCTGTCCTAGGCATTCACGTTTCCACCAAATGCCATTGCGTCAGGTGACGCTGTGAAGATACCTGCAGACATTGGGTGTCTTGGACCTGCAGGACTGTGTCTTTCTGGTGGGTCACTCTGAGCAAGTTAGTCAAGGGGACGCATATCTTTAAGACTCAACACAGCGAGGAATGATCCGCCAGTGGAGATGCCCTCGGCTCAGCCTGGAGGGGTGGGTTGCAAAGCTCCCTCTGCCAGGTCTCTGTAGTGTCTGCCCCAGGGCACTGCCTGGCCTGTGGTCGGCCTGGTGACGCTACAATGAAAGGTGCCCGCTCTCGCCAGCTCTGGCTGCCTTTCCTCTCCAGGCCGCAGACACCCACCCCTGCCCCCGGGGCCATCATCCATGCTGGCAGTGTAGCCAAGGGGCCCACCGTGTAAAATGAGTGGTCTTGGCAGAGGGTCACAGACCAGGCACTGGGCCCTGTCGTTTCTCAGCTGGCCTTTCACCCTAGGAAACATCAGCCAATGACTTGCAAATTGTGCGCAAATCACATGGTCCCTGTGGGGATCTCCACAAGGTGGACACCTGGCAAGTGACAGGTCTCCTGAAGGAGAGGCCCGAAGGCGGGTCCTTAGAAGAGAATGGCCTCAGGGCTTCCTGCTCGGCCAGGGGCTGGGTCAGCCCAAAGCGAACGGGTGCGGGGCCCAGGTGGAGGCAGCCGCCTGTGGGCGGGGCCCGGGTGGAGGCGGGGCCTCTTGTGGGCGGGGCCCGGTGGAGGCGGGGCCGCCTGTGGGCGGGGCCGAGGGGGCTCTCTGTCCTTCAGGGCCCACCCTGACCACCGCCTCGGGTGCCCAAGCTGTGCTGACCTGGCCCGTGACCGCCATGTCCGCGGCCGCCGCTGCTTCTGGGGAGCTTCCGTTAAGAACCCTGAGAACTTACGGTTTCGGAAGCCAAGGCTAAAAGGCCGCTCCCTGCAGTTCCTCTGAGTCTCAGAACAAAAACCACCCGCGTTGCGAAAACTCGGGAAGCGGGGCGAGCGCGGAGACGAGCGCCGCCCTCGCTGCCGACGCCTCCCTCCGACGCCTTTTCCTCGCGGCAGAAACGGGCGGCTCGGACCCAGCACCCACTGAACCCACCGTGGGACCCTCTCCACGGAACTAACTTCACGCGGAACGCCCGGAAGCGGGAGCGCATCGCCGTCGCCATGGCAACGAGCGCCCGTCCGGCCCCGGACGCAGCAGCCGGGAGGTGGCCCCGGGTCCCCAGGCC